CTCGGTGAGAGGCATCTGGCGGTGTTCCAATCTCCTCGCGCCACGCCGGCATGTAGGGCCACGTGTTGATTTCCGACACATGATTACATATAGGTGAATGTGTATATATATATATATGTATATGTATATATATATATATATATATATATATATATGCATCTATATATGCATATGTATACGTATCGTATGCATGTATGTATGTATGTGTACACACACATCTACATATCTTTATATACACATATATATAAATATGCTCGCCCCCCCAAAGATCATTAGAGTGAGGGGGCTGAACCGAGCGGTCATTCACTGTCCCTGGGTGCGTGGTTGAAGTGGAATTCCGCGATGCGGATTCTTGTTGTTGAACTCGCATTTCCGAAGAATAATTATTGTTGATCCCCCCCGTCCGGTGTACATCGTTTTTTCTCGATTGAAGTGCCCTTCCCGGGGCTCGCACCTTGTTTTTCATCAGGGAAAGTCTTGAAAGTCAAACTGTGTCGTTGGCCCCCGGGTTGCAACAACAGCGGCTCCCGCTTGAGACTTCCTTACAATTTAGCCAGGGCCCCCGCTCCCGCCCGAGACTTCCTCGCGTTTTATTCAGGAATCGCGCTCCCGCATGGGACTTCCTTACAAATTATTTAGGAATCGCTCTCCCGGCGCTCTGGAGTCGCGCTCTCGCTGGAAACTTGCTTGCAATTTACTGACGAATAGCGCCATTGAGTTGGAAATTCTTGCAATTTACTCAAGCGCCGCGCTACTGACACCCAGGCACCCAGGAGTCGCGCTCACGTCTCGGACTCCCTCCATAGGAATCGGGATCTCGCTGCCCTTCGTGGCCCCGTTGCAGCCCTGCGTGGCCCCGTCGCTTTGTTTCGTGGTCCCGTTGCAGCCCTTCGTGGCCCCGTCGCTGCGCCCTTCGCGGCCCCGTTGCAGCCCCTCGTGGCCTCCTCGCTGCCCTTCGTGGCCCCGTTGCAGCCCTTCGTGGCCCCCTCGCTTTGTTTCGTGGCCCCGTTGTAGCCCTTCGTGGCTCCCTCGTTGCCCTTCGTGGCCCCGTCGCAGCCCTTCGTGGCCCGGTTGCAGCCCTTCGTGGCCCCCTCGCTGCCCTTCGTGGCCCCGTTGCTGCCCTCAGTGGCCCCGTCCTTGCCCTCCGCGGCCCAGTATACGTATGCCCTTTGTGGCCCCCGTTCGTTCGCGCCCGTTGTGGTCCTTCGTGGCCCCGCTGTCGCCTTTTGTGGCCCCCTCACTGTCCTACGTGGCCCACTTGCTACCTTCAGTGGCCCCGTCGTTGTCTTCTGTGGCCCCGCATGATCTGCCCTCCGTGGCCCCCGATCGTTCGCGCCCGTCGTGGCCCCATGCGCGTGCCCTTCGTGGCCCCGTTGTCGCCCTTCGTGGGCCCCTTCCTGCCCTTCGTGGCCCCGTTGTCGCCCTTCGTGGCCCCTTCGCTGCCCTTCGTGGCCCCGTTGCTGCCCTCAGCGGCCCCGTCCTTGCCCTCCGCGGCCCAGTATACGTATGCCCTTCGTGGCCCCCGCTCGTTCGCGCTTTTCGTGGCCCCATACGCATTCCCTTCGTGTCCCCGCTGTCGCCATTCGTGGCCTACTTCGTATCCTTGTGGCCCTGCTGTCGTTCTCTCTCGCTCTCGCTTTGGCTCGTCGTCGCCGTCGTCGTCGCCGTCGCCGTCGTCGTCGTCGTCGTCGTCGTCGTCGTCCCCGTCGTCGTCGACGTCGTCGTCGTCGACGTCGTGGTCGGTCCCCTGTCCGTCCCTCTTACGGTCGGGTCGACGGTCCGCGGCCGCCCCGCCGATCAGCGCTGCCGCTGGCCAGGCCGACGGTCCGCGGCCGCCCCGCCGCTTGCCTGGGCCAGGTCTGCAGGGAAGAAAGGTATACCCCCCAAAAGGGGTTCGATCGAAGACGAAGAGGACGGGTATCGAGGGTTTGGGAGATAGGCGTTATTGGACACTCGAGCAAATAATGGCGAACAGTCTTAAACTGATTGTTGTTGTTGTTGTTGTTGTTGTTGAACATTATTTATTCCAAAGAATAATTATTGTTGGGCCCCCTGGTGCGCGCCCCCCCTGCGCCGCCTAGGCCGCAGCTACATTTTCATCACTTTCGTGAGGAAGCCTCAGAAAAGAGGGTGTGTACAGGATCCGGTTGTTTTGTTGTAATCCGCTTTCCCTTGCAAAAAACAATAGAAAATGACATTTCTTGTTCTAATATAATCAAATTTCAAGAATCCCTTGCAAAAAATAAGGTAAAGTGGACATTCGCGCGCGCAAGACGAAATCCTTCCAAAACCTTAGTGTTCGCAGCGATTTTAACATAAAAACATCAAAAAACCAATGGTTTTTCAACAAAAAATTGTCAAAATCTCATCCCGCGCGCTCTTGCGGATTCGTAGGAAACCCAACACTTTTTAAACATTTCTGTCAAACGGGCTTTTGCGAGCAACTTTTTCGAACTTCTGCGACAACGGTTGCGCACCTGCCAGGGCCATCATCCCTGTCAAATAATACCATGCGGGACACATTCGTTTTTTCTTCGCGCGCGCACGCCGTCGTCGTCGGCCGCGGGGCCCTGAATAGTAGCCACGGTCGTCCGCATGCCACGAAGTGAAGTGTCCGAACGTCATAGGGCGGGAAGCTGGGTGTGGGTGGTGGCGAAGAGTCGTTTGGAAATTTGGTAGAGCTTGAACCGGCCCCCCCACAAAGTGGGGGTATTGCCCGCCTCCTATGAAAACCCTGGCACTGGTGAGAACGGAGTGTCCCCACGTGCTAGTAATTGTTGTTGTTGTTGTTGTTGTTGTTGTTGTTGTTGTTGTTGAACTCTCATTTCTGATGAATAATTATTGTTGATCCCCCTCGTCCAGTGCACCATGTTTTTTCGACTGAAGTGCCCTTCCCGGGGCTCGCACCATGTTTTTTATCAGGGAAAGTCTTGAAGGTCAAACTGTGTCGTTGGCCACCGGTTTACAACAACAGCGGCTCCCGCCTGAGACTTCCTCACAATTTAGCCAGGACCCCCGCTCCCGCCCGAGACTTCCTCGCGTTTTATTCAGGAATCGCGATCTTGCTTGGGACTTCCTTGCAATTCATTCTCCCGGCGCTCTGGAGTCGCGCTCTCGCTGGAGACTTGCTTGCAATTTACGGACGAATAGCGCCCTTGCGTTGGAAATTCTTGCAATTTAATTGAGCGCCGCGCTACGGACACCCAGGCACCCAGGAGTCGCGCTCACGCTTAGGACCCCCTCAAGAATTACATAGGACTCGGGATCTCGCTGCCCTTCGTGGCCCCGTTGCAGCCCTTCGTGGCCCCCTCGCTTTGTTTCGTGGCCCCGTTGCAGCCATTCGTGGCCTCCTCGCTGCCCTTCGCGGCCCCGTTGCAGCCCTTCGTGGCCCCCTCGCTTTGTTTCGTGGCCCCGTTGTAGCCATTCGTGGCCCGCTCGCTGCCCTTCGTGGCCCCGTTGCAGCCCTTCGTGGCCCGGTTGCAGCCCTTCGCGGCCCCCTCGCTGCCCTTCGTGGCCCCGTATATGTATGCCCTTCGTGGCCCCCGCTCGTTCGCGCCCGTGGTGGCCCCATGTGCTTCTGTCCTACGTGGCCCAGTTGCTACTCTCAGTGGCCCCATCGTTACCTTCCGTGGCCCTACATTATCTGCCCTTCGTGGCCCCCGCTCGTTCGCGCTTTTCGTGGCCCCATACGCATTCCCTTCGTGTCCCCGCTGTCGCCATTCGTGGCCTACTTCGTATCCTTGTGGCCCTGCTGTCGTTCTCTCTCGCTCTCGCTTTGGCTCGTCGTCGCCGTCGTCGTCGCCGTCGCCGTCGTCGTCGTCGTCGTCGTCGTCGTCGTCGTCGTCGTCGTCCCCGTCGTCGTCGACGTCGTCGTCGTCGTCGTCGTGGTCGGTCCCCTGTCCGTCCCTCTTGGGGTCGGGTCGACGGTCCGCGGCCGCCCCGCCGATCAGCGCTGCCGCTGGCCAGGCCGACGGTCCGCGGCCGCCCCGCCGCTTGCCGGGGCCCGGCCTGCAGGGAAGAAAGGTATACCCCCCAAAAGGGGTTCGATCGAAGACGAAGAGGACGGGTATCGAGGGTTTGGGAGATAGGCGTTATTGGACACTCGAACAAATAATGGCGAACAGTCTTAAACTGATTGTTGTTGTTGTTGTTGTTGTTGTTGTTGTTGTTGTTGTTATTGTTGTTGAACTCTCATTTCTGATGAATAATTATTGTTGATCCCCCTCGTCCAGTGCACCATGTTTTTTTCGACTGAAGTGCCCTTCCCGGGGCTCGCACCCTTTTTTTATCAGGGAAAGTCTTGAAGGTCAAACTGTGTCGTTGGCCCCCGGTTTACAACAACAGCGGCTCCCGCCTGAGACTTCCTCACAATTTAGCCAGGACCCCCGCTCCCGCCCGAGACTTCCTCGCGTTTTATTCAGGAATCGCGATCTTGCTTGGGACTTCCTTGCAATTCATTCTCCCGGCGCTCTGGAGTCGCGCTCTCGCTGGAGACTTGCTTGCAATTTACGGACGAATAGCGCCCTTGCGTTGGAAACTCTTGCAATTTAATTGAGCGCCGCGCTACGGACACCCAGGCACCCAGGAGTCGCGCTCACGCTTAGGACCCCCTCAAGAATTACATAGGAATCGGGATCTCGCTGCCCTTCGTGGCCCCGTTGCAGCCCTTCGTGGCCCCCTCGCTTTGTTTCGTGGCCCCGTTGCAGCCCCTCGTGGCCTCCTCGCTGCCCTTCGCGGCCCCGTTGCAGCCCTTCGTGGCCCCCTCGCTTTGTTTCGTGGCCCCGTTGTAGCCATTCGTGGCCCGCTCGCTGCCCTTCGTGGCCCCGTTGCAGCCCTTCGTGGCCCGGTTGCAGCCCTTCGCGGCCCCCTCGCTGCCCTTCGTGGCCCCATATGTGTATGCCCTTCGTGGCCCCCGCTCGTTCGCGCCCGTGGTGGCCCCATGTGCTTCTGTCCTACGTGGCCCAGTTGCTACTCTCAGTGGCCCCATCGTTACCTTCTGT